TGATAAGTCGAAGAAATTAGGATTAATAGTTCTTTGGTAGATAATATCTCGAAGTTCATTTTCATTTTCAAATGTTTGGTTGATAGTTACTGTGAATATTTTATGTATTTCTGTAATACATTGTCTGACACCACTATTATCACTGTTAAAAAGCAGAGACGTACATAATATTTTGTGTTTGTTCAAAACACATCGAAATGCTTGAGATAGACGATTGAATGATAATGATCCTTGAACAACTTGTAAAGTCGAGAATTCATTATAGATAGCAATATCACTTGAAAAGCGAACCTGTTCATCAAGAAATATACGTTCTTGAGCAAAAGAGGCAATACCTGTCAATTAAATAATAGAAATTATTTTGATAATGTTGCAGTAAACACTTTTACCTTCATTTATATGTAATGTGTGCCATTGTGATGTCTGTATATTATTCATTATAACTGTTTGAAGTAGTTGTGAATGTTGAAATATAGTTGGTTGTTGAAGAAATGGGGCAATCGAAAGTGTATGAGCATCAAAGTTAAATACTGATTGATAATGATGATAAAGTTTAATAAATAAAAGTGAATGACCACCAACAGTAAAAAAACTGGTAGTTCTCGAAATTTGATTATCATCACAATGAAGAACTTGACACCAAATAGTGAGTATATGTTCTTCGAACTGGTTAAGGGGAGTATCAGATTTATCGGACGATAACAAAGTCGACACAGAAAAGTCAGGCGAAGGAAGTTGTTTTCTATCCACTTTTCCATTTTGATTCAAAGGTAGTTTGTCAAGAATAATAAATACTGATGGTATCATATGTGGCGGAAGATGAGATTGACAATTTTGACGTATTTCGTCTTCATTCACATGAGAAGATTGAACATATGCAACTAAATAATCATCATTCCATTTCATGACAACACAAGTAGAGATGGAAACAATATTAAGTAAACATCGTTCGATTTCACCAAGTTCGATTCGTTGTCCATGTAGTTTGATTTGATGATCTTTTCTTCCTTGATA